TCGGCAGGCGAAACCACGGCACCTCCCGTGAGCGGATCACGCCTCTCCATCCGGGAGTGGAGTTCGGGACATTTCCACGTATGTGCGTCTCACAAGGATATAAAATCCCCATGTGAGAGATTCACAGCTCTGCCCGCGCCGCTAATCGGCCCTTATCCCTTCCTACAGCCCCCCCGTACCCCTCTCTTTGTTCTGCCACCGAGCAGACGTGCTCAGCCGGTTAACTTTCATTGTTTTGGGCTGTTTTAATAAAGCGAATTTGGTCGACGCGATTCTCGAAGGAGAAGATGGACGGCGAGCTCGGCCAATCAAGGCGCTGGCCCGGCCGGAAGAGCCAATGAGGGAACAGAACCCAAGGCGGTCCAGCCAATCAGCCGCGAGCGGGGAGGCGGGACCCCACCAGTGAGGTGTTAAACAGGAGACGCGACGGTTTGCAACAAAGCGAAAATATCCAGAAAAACAAAACAGCAACAAACACAAATTCTCGGCTCCCTCTCAGAGCCCCGTCAACAAACGCGGCTCTTTCCCGTCGCACGGCTCGGACTCACCTGGCGTTTCCTTTGCCGTTCAGACCTCGCAGCCGTATCAGCTCGTCCAGGGAGAGGTCCGCCATCTTGTCACTGTGAGGGGGGGGCGGGGCCGGGGGAAGTCAGCGCGAGGACCCAGGCGCTACGGCGGCCGCGGAGGGACGGACAGTGCCGGAGAGAGAGCCGAAGCGTTCAGCACCCCCACATCCCTGAATGCCATTGGGGTTAAACTTCAACATATTTAACACAGACAGACCTAATGGGTGTTAAAAACAGTCACTTTGATCCTCACACACCTCACCCCCCACTGCACACAGATCAGAGACACCTCCTCACCCCCCAGCGCACACAGCTCAGCGAGGAGAGAGAAACTGCTTCATCAGGTGGATTAAGGGGGAGGTTGATCAGCTCTGAGTGGAGTTTAGTCTGGGGTTAATTAACACAGCTCTGTTTCCTATATTAATTATTATTGCCAGCAGCCATATCTGCAGGTGTGAGCCTGG